TCCGCTCTGTAAAGAGCACTTAGGGTTCCCTGTAACAAGACGGCAACGTCTGTAGGGCCTTCCCTATTAAAATAATAAATTCTACTAGGCCACCCAGAATTAATTCGTTGTTTCGGGTCACCCGACCGACCGTCTTTTTTCACCCGACCGCAATTTTTTTTTATAGTGCATGCAAATGTACATGACTAGACTATGTACGTACCTATGTACACAAGCGCAGTCCAGTCATCGACCTCAGAAGCAGCCAAATAAAATAACAGGATGAAGCGCTTGGTGACGATGTTGTCTTCCGATCCGCAATCGGTCCTGAAACAGCATCAGCTCTGCCACCGCGTCGCTCTTTGACAGACGTTTCAAGGTGAGAACTGCTCCTCAGACTCGTTTGCCAGCGAGGCCAAGGTCTGGTCCTGGAGGGGACCTGGGTCTGATGGGACAATGACTGTGCTGGATCGTCTACAGTCATGATTTGATCGACTGGCTTGATGGACAAAAGCTATTCGATATGCACAATTGTACATGTATGCACAATCATATACATGTACATGGCAATAACCAAAATAAAATAAAATAAAATAAATGAACCCGACCGACCGACCCTGGTACGGATGAGTGAAGTGACCCGAAACAACGAATTAATTCTAGGTAGCCCTACTACATGTACTACTATTTATTTCATTCATCCCCCCCCCCCCCCCCCGCCGTGTTTGATGACTCCCTGAGTCCCTACAAGGCCCTGGCTGTAGTGTAGCCCACGAGAGTTTCGAGATCTTCCATCACCACTGCGCTGGCAGTACTGCAGTGGTGCACAGCGATGTCGCGGGTTTCGCAAGTGACTGATTATTGGTCGCTGCCGTTGAGGGTCAAAGGTCATCTCCCAAATGTGGCGACATTCGTCAAAATTAATGACGGCAATCTGTGATATGCGGCGCGGCGCGGTAGGCCATAGATCCTACGTAGGGTCTACTGATTCTCGCTCTAGCGCTATATAGCATGCATGCAGTGTCATGATACAAGCACGGACCTAGCGCGAGCTGCCGCGGACCGTCCACAAAGGGTGGTCAAAGTCCAAAAGGTCAAGCTGTGTACTTTCCAAAACAAGCAGACTGCAAAATACAATGTCATGTATAGCACCACGTAGATTTACGTAGAATCAAACAAAAGGGACGTAGTCTACGTAGCTACGTAGATTCTACGTAACGTTGTAGGTGGATCGTAGAAGGGGTAGACGGCAGAAGTAGAGGAGTCGGGCCGAACAGGGAAAGGGGGGGGGAGGTGCCGGGGGAGGGGCGGGGGAGTAGGGTGTTTCCTGTGCACATGTACATGATGTGGGTTGATCCAGTATTTCAGATCTACAACTACGTACATGTAGCTACAGCCTACACAGACTCTGGGTCGTGGTATGGCAAGCGCAAACGTCGCCACAGCGCCGTCGTTGTCGCAAGGGACGTGTCATGAAGGATCTCGAGAGTTGAGTCGGAATTTTATTACTCCTTGACCTCCGATCCGCCTCGCAACTCTCTCTCGGATCGGCTGAGTCGGCTCACTTCCCCGTTTGTTCCGACTACAATCCAGTACAAAACTAAGTACGAGCAGATGAATTTTGTTTGTTATTCTCCACATTGCATGTCTCTTTGTCACTAAGTTTTCGATATGAACCAGGAATCCAGTTCCCTCTTCGTATAAAGAAATAATACTGGTACCATGTCCTCGCGGAGAGAGGCCAGCAACTTTAGTACTCTCGAAAGGGGCAGAGACGCGCTCGTCGCATAACGTCGGCGGAATTGTCTTCATCCGTTCCCGAAGGAACTTCCTCTTTAGTATAATGCTAGGTTGAGACTTCCCGTCGCTTCCCGGGTTGGCTTGGACGCGAGCCACTCTGAACAGGGACCACACTGTCTGTGCTTGCGGGGAGGTTCAGTCCGTTCCTTTGTGAACCCGGCGCTGAAAGGGTACCGCTGCGTATGTGTGAGCAGGTGAGGAGGCTCTGCAAATGTTGTTGTGACTTACTACATTAGATGATTAATCTCTTAGTACCGTCTCATCCAGATTATTTGTAATGCAGTCAAATGATAACTCCACTTGCACAATTCACAAGTGTTTAGTATCACGAAATCAGTATCTTCCACATCAGAACATGACAACACAACCATGTGACTTGAATGCAAGCGGGTTTTTTTCACCGGGTGGTTCCACTGCATGCCCTATATCCTTGAAGGAGATGGTGCTGCAAGCTCGAAATACACCTACTGGTACATGCATTTCTCCAGTTTGTTCAACTGAACAAAGTCTAGCCGATACAGTCACGCAAGAATGACTATATCCAGCATCCCATTGCGACGCAAAGTTGATCTACGGCTGCTGAAAAACCATCGTGACTCACAGAGTTGTGCGCTGCATTACATACCGGCTATCCGTGCCTAGCTTGCACTGCCAGGTAATATGCATGCATACCTGTGCAGTGTGGTCGGTATGAGTAGTCTCAGACTGCGCATATGTGCATACTGAAGTCACGCATGTAGGGTGTGCAGCGTTACAATGTACACGGACAAAGCGTTTGTCACTGCCAAGTGTGATTTTACCCATAATTATATCATGCATCGGGCAATTTTCATACAGTACACTCTACTCCTGATAAAATGGTTGCCATTTGCAGGGGAATTAGTTCTTTACGGGTTTGTTAGAACGGAAATGCATTCGCACCATACAAACAACACGACATCACTAGCATGTGGCCTATGGCTGTATGATTGCACTTGGCAATCATGCGACCCTACAAGAAATGGTTCTTAATGAACGAAAAGTGATCGATACACAGGGTCAATTTTCTATGAGCTCAAACAAGAACATGGACGACAGTTCGCTATGTCACGAATTTTGCTATGTAAATGCACAACTTTGCTATACGTGGAATAGACAGTACTTGCAGCCGCAGGCTATGGCTTTGGCTATCCTGTGCTGTATCCACATCCTTGCCAGAGGCAATGCTTTCGGTTTATACCGCCCTTCCCTTCGACACTGGTTGTTCCGCTGCAGTTGTTCTGTGCAGGTGTCAACTGCGCTGAAATGGGTTTCGCTGCTCTCTGTCTCTCTGTCTCACTGTCTCACTGTCTCTCGGTCTCTCTGTCTCTCTGCCTCTCTGCCTCCCTGCCTCTCTGTCTCTCTGTCTCTCTGTCTCTCTGTCTCTCTGTCTCTCTGTTTCTCTGCTGCTCTGTCTCTCTGTCGCTCTGTTTCTCTGACTCTCTGTCGCTCTGTGGCTCTGTCTCTCTGTCTCTCTGTCTTTTTGTCTCTCTGTTTCGCTGTCTCTCTGTCCCTCTGTTGCTCTGTCGCTCTGTCTCTCTTTCTCTCTGTCTCTGTGTCTCTCCGTCTCTGTGTCTCTGTGTCTCTGTGTCTGTCTTTCTCTCTGCCTCTCTGCCTCTCTACCTCTCTGCCCCTCTGCTCCTTTGTCTTTCAGCCTCTCTCTGTCTCTCTCTCTGTCTCTGTCTCTGTCTCCGTCTCTCTGTCTCCCTCTGTCTCTATCTCTCTCTGTCTCTCTCTCTGTGTCTCTCTCTCTGTCCCTCTGTCTCTCTGTCTCTCTGTCTCTCGGTCTCCCCGTCTCTCGTCTCTCCGTCTCTCTGTCTCTCCATCTCTCTGTCTCTCTGTCTCTGTCTCTCTGTCTCTGCCTCTCTCTGTCTCTCACTCTCTGTCTCTGTCTCTGTCTCTCTCTGTCTCTGTCTCTCTCTCTCTCTCTCTCTCTCTCTCTCTCTGTCTCTCTCTCTGTCTCTCTGTCTCTCTCTGTCTCTGTCTCTG